CCAAAAAATTAATGGTTGCAGATAAATATCAACTAAAAACGTTGATTTAGTCTTATTCAAAAGAAATAGCCAAATACACTTTCTTGATTTATCAAGTCGGCCACGTTTCTGGCTCAGGTCAATGTAGTGCAGATTATAGCGTTGTCGGACTTCCACATGGATACACTTTTATATGAAAGAATAAATAGGAAATTTCAAATCCAAATTAGCGTGAACAAGAATGGAAATATCTTTATTTACAGAGCTGCTAACCAGAATGGATGATTTTTGAGCCCCGATGGACGCATAAAGCGGAATATATACAAAGCACTATATACATTGCACTGTTGGAGGGCCCTAGGGATGGGTGGCCAGGGGATCATCGGCGGGTGAGGTCAGGAGAGCCGGGATGTAGAGGAGGATCAGTGGGGCAGGGTGATGATCCGCGGAGATCAGGGGCAGGCAGAGACGGGTCCAATAGTATGAGTATTGAGCCCAAGGGTGACCGTGGAGAGCAGACAGACCGCAATGCTCTACGTGAACAAGAGGATTGTTTTATTTGGACAATATACACACAGGAATAAAATTAAATCCACGTGTAGTTGATAGTTATTCCGACAGATAGCGCTCTGCAATCTTTAAATGCTTATTCGAACGGTCAAGAAACGCTTTTCATAGTAACGGATAATTCAACACAACAACAACAAAAAGCCTTTATTTAGGGTCACTGACCCTATACAGGATTTACCAGAGGTATGCATAAGAAAAAGCAGTGAGACAAAGGAAATAACGATATATACAGAAGAAAAAGAAAAAAAAAAAGAAAAAAAAAAGAAAGAGAAAGAGGGAAGCAAGAAAAACAACACAAAAAGATTAGCAGTAAGAAAGTGAGGAGTGAGTGTCACTTGGCCTTCTTCTCAGATATGGACTTGTGGAAACCATAAAACGCCGTAGCAATATACTTATTCTGGGTCATATTGTCAATTATTGATGGAAGTGAAGCACAGAGTTGCCCAATAACGGATAATTCAAACTATTACAGTTATCATATTTTACTATAAATGATCATCCTCTGACTTATAATTTGACCATATTAAAAAGCATCCAGGTTTCTTGTACATTTTTATTTCTCTAGCTTTCGGGTCTTCTAGTTAACTTGAAGTTGCTCCTGTTGAAGGGCATGTTAGCCCAAAAGCTAGAAACTTAGCCCCGGATGTTTTTTGATGTAGTTAATTTAATATATTTATTTGGAAACCCGTAATTCAGGAATAAAATTATATTTTATAAATAAAATTTATCATATACCATCCCTGAGCTGATCCTATATTCTCAGACACCATATTTGTAGCAATCTGTTATGTAAGCCTCAGTTGGTATTTATACACAAAATACCCGAAATGCTATAATATTTATCATATTTACTTGGTATATTTTATATTTAGAGTTAGTTTATTTTGACATCTTTAAAATTTTGATTTATTCAAGTGAATCAGTCCCAAGTGCCTCCTTAAACTGGATCCTCAGGGATGACCGATCCATAGCCATAATTTTCAACAGGTGGCGCTGTCTTGGCTTCACTTGATCCATAAACATTTTTTTTTGCTTATCCCTAGTACACTTTGCTAGAAAATCATCCATCCTGGTCAGCAGCCCCGTAAATAAAGATATTTCCATCCCTAGTACACGTGGTACAGGCCATGATAATCATGGTGGGTAGAAGTAGGCGACTGCTTTTACTGTAAGTGCACCACATGTCTACACATGTGAAAAGCAGTTGGACTTTGCACTTACAAATGTACCAGAGCCACGTTTGGTTACTTGCACTCGCTGGTGGGGTTGGACTTTTGCAAGAATCGGGGGCTAGTGAAGCATTTTATTTTTATCAGAAAAAAGTGCCTAATGCGAGACTCGAACCCGGGTCTTAGCGGTCGAAACCAACGGTTTAGATCATCCTTCCACCGACTCCCTCCATAAATGTACAATGAGAGAGTTCTCTTGATCTAGTACCTTCAATGGCCAACCAATCAATATTTTAGCAGGTTACTATGCCTTAATAAAGGGTCTATTCAATTCTATTTTCGTTTTCTTAATGTTTTAATGAAGTATATGTCCTCTTCCCCGCTAATGATACCTCATCGTTCTTTGTTTGTGAGATTTGAATTCCCCATCACCACATCTCACAAGACTCCAACAATCTGACGTCCTATGCTGTCAGAGTCCATATCTAGCTCCTGTATAATGTTACGTTCAACACTGATGTCTTCAAAAGTCATTTACGCTTCTGTAGATTTAACCTGTTTCATCAGCATTTTATTCTGAACACAGCCTTTATCATTGAGACCTGGGATTATACTTCACATATTCAGGAACCTTCTTCTGAGATGAGTTCTTCTGATTAGCGAGGACTCTGCACCTGTTCGACCTTCTGTCCATTCGATTCGGTGCATATTCTGTCCATTTGATTCTATCCATATTCTGTCCATTTGATTCTATCCATATTCTGTCCATTTGATTCTGTCCATATTCTGTCCATTTGATTCTATCCATATTCTGCCCATTTGATTCTGTCCATATTATTTCCATTTGATTCTGTCCATATTCTGTCCATTTGATGCTGTCCATATTCTGTATATTTGATTCTGTCCATATTCAGTCCATTTGATTCTGTCCATATTCGGTCCATTTGATTCTGTTCATTTGATTCTGTCCATATTCTGTCCATTTGATTCTGTCCATATTCTGTCCATTTGATTCTATCCATATTCTGTCCATTTGATTCGGTGCATATTCTGCCCATTTGATTCTGTCCATATTATTTCCATTTGATTCTGTTCATATTCTGTCCATTTGATGCTGTTCATATTCTATCCATTTGATTCTGTCCATATTCGGTCCATTTGATTCTGTCCATATTCGGTCCATTTGATGAACAGAAGTTCATTTGATTCTTTCCATATTCTGTTCATTTGATTCTGTCCATATTCTGTCCATATCCTGTCCATTTGATTCTGTATATTGATAAATACACATTCATTTCGTATTGGCTGGCCATAATGTTTGCCTTTTCAATCACACAATTGAATATTTCTCAGAACTGTCTGCCAAATTATAACCCTATCCGCGTATTTTATAGCAGTAATATCCAATCCTCCTGCACGTAGGCCCAACTTGCCTTCTTCTAATTCACAGATATGAATTAGTTTGGCTAAGGTGGCGAAAATTGCTGGAGGCAGCAATCAGTTCTGTCTCTTTGGAATTTTGCTATTGAAGATAGCACAAAGAGACACGGGCGATGTGAAATTTCCAGTGTGACAGACCCTATATGTCGCCATGTTGTCGAACGTTCCCAAATATGTTTGTGACACCCACAAATGTCCTTGTGACATCCGTTTGACACGTCGTAGGCGACTTAAGGCCAAGGTTCAAGATACCATCTTCCAAATTTTATGTTTCTCTTATTTTATCTGATTTCTATTAGATAGTGTGCTTTCTTAATAAGATAAATCACGTATTTCGTCCACACCTTTACAAATTTATCTACTTTCATCATTTAAAAAATCTAATAACAATTAAATGCAGCGTGTGTGTGGCGCTGTTTACATCTTAGATCAATCAACCTGAAAGTGTGTTTTAGTGCTAGTTTGAAATTACAAATTATTCTTCAATAAAATATATTAGTGCGCACCATCTATTAACACTATATTTAAAACAATTTAACAGTATTTTTATCAAAATAAAGTTATTCTCTACTGTTTTTACAGAAATGGTAGACGGAAGAAGAATCTCGATGCATATATTCGTCAATACTTATACTTTACTCGAAATTTTTGTACCTAAAACTTCCAATAAATGTCATCACCAAGGATCCCTTCAAATCTCATTATATTACGATTACAATTTCATCCCTAATAAAGAAAAAATTGCCAAAAGGGTTAATTATTCTTTTAAATCTTTTATATACCGTAGCCATAATCGTTATCGTTAATAGAAATACAAATTCTGATACAATTCTCTCTGAAAAATAATACCAGTTTTTCTCTCAAATTTTATATTCTGTGTATGATACAATATTTTCACAATAAACTCGCTATAACAACGTTTTCTCATCCCCTCTATTCTCTCTATTGGCTTTTTAAGCTACCAGAACTACACAGGTTCAATTAGGAATCAAATAAAGGAATTGTAAAGTAGGAATGTCAACCAATTAATTTTAATTAGTTATAAACAAGGTATTTCTTTTTAAAAATAGTTGTTTTTGACAGCTGAACTAGTGTGAACTAAATTATTTATTCCACATCGCTAACCCTCCTGGCTCTTTATATAGTTTTTTTTACAATAGATCAAGGCAGCAAAAGATTTCCACGGCCTCAAATCGCCATTAAACTGGTTTCGCAGGTTCATTAATTACATGTAATAAAGTTGGATGAAAATGGAATCCACTTTTTAATCTACTTTAGCATCTAGGAGAGGTTTGGGTTTCTTAAAGTGGTAATATGTAAATTTTATAATATTTGTTGATGTTAATTATTTGAAGTGAATATGGTTCACTGGCCATGAAAATCATAGCGGGTAGCTAACGCAGCATGCAGGCATATGCACGCTAATGCATGCGCGCTTACACGTTTAGAAGAGGTTGTACTTAATTGCACATTTCAAGTGCAAGAATCGACCTGCTTTTTTAAATTATTGGCATATGGTTATATTCCTTATAAGTGGGTACAAACCACCAGGATTATCGTGACCTGCATTATTAGTGCTTGAGTTGAGAAGCATAAACAAAACACCAACAAAATGTCCCTGTGGCGGATCCATGTGGAATATCAAGCCCCACTAGCCTTTTCTTTATTATTTCAATATAGAGATTTAAATAATTAATATATACAGTAATCAGAGTCATGCACAATTCTGTCACGTTAAGTCACGTGTCAAGTTACGGTAAGTAAAAATTTAAAAATCATATATACAGTATCAGAGTGATCAATTCTGTCATCGTTTTAAAAAATTAAAATATTTTTAAAAGATGCCGAAAACCGGGATTGAACCAGGGACCTTTAGATCTTCAGTCTAACGATCTCCCAACTGAGCTATTTCGGCTTATTTTAGTTATTTCTATAGAAGCCTCTATCTTTATAATTATGTATATTTTCAAAAAGTCAATTCACACCTCTTCGCTGGAGACCATGGGAATACTGACTAATTCATTATGCTAACATAATCATATATACAAGTATCAGAGTCATCAATTCTGTCACGTTAAGTCACGTGTCAAGTTACGGTAAGTGCACACAATGCAAAAAAAAAACTTTACAAATTTAGCGTTACTGTATGTAAATAATCACTTTCTTCTTCTTATTTTTTTTTCTGGCCTTTGTTTTTTTATCTCTCTCTTTTTTTTAAATCGTTTAAAATGCAGTCGCAGTCACTAGCAAACACATATGTCTGCCTAATTTCCATGTGCTCTTTATTTTTTACAGAAAAATATTTACATGCCAGTATTTTGGATTAATATTTTTTATAAACCTATTTTTTCTTATTTTTACTGAGAAGATGGGCATCGCAGTCAAGATTCATCGTAGTCACTCACTCAACTCAGGCAATTTCAAGGGTTAGTGCGCTGGGGCGGGTACCTCGGGGGTTGGGTGGAAAAGCTGCCATCTATTTAAACTATATTGATTTTGAAACAACTAAATGCATTGCAAAAAATAATTAAATCAAACACCTAAACACTAATATAATACAATTTTTGCCATCACACACACTTTTTGCCTGTGGTTTATGTGTTACTTCTGTGTTGCTATTCTATGGCACTTCTACTATTTATTATTGATTTACTTTCAGTATGAAGGAAATTGCACTCGGGGTAATTCTCGGGCGAAGCCGGGTCATTCGTCTAGAGAATTCAAGAATGACATCCACGGCGCCAATTTATAATTGTAACGAATAGTATTTGAATAAAAGCATTTAATCGGGTAAAACCCGGGCAACGCCCGGGTTTACCCGATTAAATGTTTTATTCAAACACTATTCGTTACAATTATAAATTGGCGCCGTGGATGTCACTCTTGTGAAACGTCCCGCTCCAAACTTTACAGTCAGATTAGTTACGATATAAATCTTCAAATCGAGCGAGCGTCTATAAATATTTCGATTTAGATCAAGTATTCTAATTATTAAGCGAACACTATTATTAATAAAATTTTGATAAGATTTCGATTTTAAACGTATTTATAACCTTGATAGAGGGCGCTGTTCGTGAGCTAAGTAGAATAATTTGAATATATAGTTTTAATATTTAATTTATATATAATTTAAAATAGCCTATCGTTTTCCTCGTATCTTTTTACCTATGTATGGAAATTTTGGTTTGAATTAGTGAACTACTGCGAATTTGTATACCGGACATACAAACCAACAAACAAACAAACAAACATACAAACATTCATTTTTATATATATAGAAGATATAATATAAATGAGTTTTAAAAATTGTTAAAAAAAATGCAGCGGCCGGGAATCGAACCCGGGCCGCCCGCGTGGCAGGCGAGCATTCTACCACTGAGCCACCGATGCGTATACAAAATGGCCATATTTGGGTATTCATTCCATTCCGGATTACTCCGCGTAAAAAAAAGTTCTTCAAATGAAAAAAAGAAATAGCCAAAAATACTAAGCAAATTGTATCCAAAAATTTTCCTCAGGTTTATAAAAAGCGACATGCAAAATTTGGTACCAATTGGTTCAGTAGTTTTTGAGTTTATCGCGAAACAGACAGACAGACAGAAATTGACTTTTATATATATAGAGATTAGTGTTTAGGTATTTGATTTAATTCATATAGTTGATATAATAGTATATATTTATATTATATTTTTTATAAATTAGTTTTAAAAATTGTAAAAAAAAAAATGCATCGGCCGGGAATCGAACCCGGGCCGCCCGCGTGGCAGGCGAGCATTCTACCACTAAGCCACCGATGCTTTAAAAAAATGGCCATATTTAGGTATTCATTTCATTCCGGATTAGTCCGCGTAAAAAAATAGTTCTTCAAATTAAAAAAAGAAATAGCCAAAAATAATAAGCAAAATGTAGCCAAAAATTTTCCTCAGGTTTATAAAAAGCGACATGCAAAATTTGGAACCAATTGGTTCAGTAGTTTTTGAGTTTATCGCGAAACAGACAGACAGACAGACAGGAATTGACTTTTATATATAGAGAGATATCTATGTCAATATAACACTTTTTATTATCATCATGATACAACACACTTATCGTCTCAATGCTTTAAAGAGCTGAAAATGAATTATTGTAACTCCTATAGGTAATTGAATAAAACCCCTGATATCTGTTGTATCCTATTTCCAAACTAGGCAATTTGTTGGTAGATCACCGATCTTAGTATCTGCATCCCTCTTTTTGAAACTAGATCTGTAATTTGACCATAATTCCATATATAGCATACTCTTTAATCGGTTTAGATGGATATATTGCTTCTGTTTTGCTTTCGTTCGCCGATTGGTTCTTCTCTGATTCTACTTCTCCTTTAAATAATTTTTCAAACATTAAGGAAATAAGCAAGTTCAGTATTTGGTTCCATAATGATGGAATTTCTCCGTAGCGGAGTGTTCTAGGACGACATTCTCGGCCTTGTTGGCCCTCGGACCGTAAAATTTGTGGAAGCAAAAGTCCGGACCGGCGCTGTTATTTTTTAACAAACAATAGAACAACTTTTTACTAGGTATTATATAACTACAGAATAATTAATCTTCTAAATCTAAAAATAAGGCGTTTATTCAAAAATATCATATATAATTTTTTTAATTATAATTTTGTAAGCATAAAATTTAATCATCATTCAGATGAAATGCATACCATTGCAATTTTATATCAAGCAAATGTTTAACAATACATTTATATTTTTATAAATATTTTTAAATATATAAATAATGCCGCGTAAATGAAAAGCTAATCCAGAATTGTTATGCTATATTTGTGGAAATTTTAAAATTCCCAAACGGAGGAAACGTATCACCCCAAAGATAAAAGAATGCTATGAAGAATATTTTGGTGTGGCCTTAGGTGATCAAGACAAGTGGTGGTGCCCCCATAGTGTGTGCGGAACGTGCTATCAAAGGCTTTTTCAATGGAAATCGGGAAAATCAAAAGGTATGCCCTTTGGTGTACCAATGGTTTGGTGAGAACCAAAAAAATATCATGACGATTGTTATTTCTGTACCTGCAAAATCACAGGCCTTAATAGCAAAAAGAAGCAAACTAACTTTTATCCTGATATACCATCAGCTAGGCAACCTATTCCTCATGATATCGAGAATCCCATACCGATCCCTAAAATGGTTCAAGAATCCTATCTCAAAAAGGATGATAATCACACAGCATTTGCAGATGATCATCAATTAGAAGACCCTGAATTTATTTCAAATGAAAGTGGCATTCCACATTTATTTGATCAGGCATTATTAAATGATCTAGTTGGGGATCTAGGGCTATCAAAAGAAGCAGCAGAAATCCTTGGATCAAGATTAAAGCAAAGGAACCTCTTGTTACCACAAACCAAAATCTCTGTCTATTGTAATAGGGAACATTGTTTTTTTTTTCATTTTTTTCTGAAGAACAAGGATTAGTGTACTGCAATGATATTGAAGGCGTTTTTTAAACTCTGCAAATTAATTACAATGCTACCGAGCATAGACTCTTTATTGATTCCTCTAAACAAAGTTTGAAGGCTTGTTTGCTGCACTATGGTAGTGTATTACCTTCCATGCCAGTTGTCTATTCAACTCAAATGAAAGAAACCTATTCGACTCTTGAGAAAATCTTTGAATTGTTGAATTATACCTACCATTGTTGGAAAGTTTGATAAAAAACAATTTTCCTGATAATTTTGAAAAAGAAAGGGAAATAAATTAGATTTTTAAATGAAAATTTATATGGATATAGAGTAAGTAGTTTGATAAATATATATATCTAAGCGCAGTTATTGGAGTAAAATATATACACATGCATATATGTATAATATTGTTTCTTCATTTGCACTATCTTTGGCGCATTTATTTATATAGTAATAAGTTTAATGTCATAACATTTCCTCCAATAGATGAATATCATGGGTAAAATGCATTATATCCATAACTTGAGAAATTGAGCTAATCGAAAAAAAAAAACTGATACCACGTTAATCAGCACAAAAAGTTAACCCAGAAAATGTTTTGTTTATTTGAGGAGGATAAATGTTTTTTCATTTTGTGTACTAGTGTTATTATTATTTTTTTAATAAAAAAAGAAAACTATCAAAACTATCGATTTCGGAAGATGACCGACTTCTGAGGCGTGTACAACAGAATTGTTTGAGATTCTTCGGTCACATCGCGCCACGCAGGGGAATGGAGTACACCATACTGACTGGAAAGACGTCTGGGCGACACATACCTGGACGCCCGCCGATACGCTTCGTGGACCTATTAAAGGAATTCACTGACTTAACGGTCGCCAAGATGGTACATCGAGCTCAAGACAGAGATGGCTGGTGTCGTATCGTGTTTGGGATGTAATACGTACAGTACAACGTTCGATCGTGAATAAAATGATTTATGTTAATAAGAAAATTTGACGAGGGCAGATAAAAATCTCCAAGGACTGGTCAAACTTTTCAGCAGACTGGCGCCAACGGTTGAAAACCCCTGCTCTAGTATATAAATAATAATCCGGTTCAAAACAACTTTATTAGGTGCCACTCAAGAAAAACAACCCAGGTCACAATATTTACATTAGAGAACATAGAAGAAAAGACAGCACGAATGTTTCTTTTACATCTAAAACAAATCTCTCTACTATCCTTACTGCGGTGAAATAATTTTGGAAGGGCTTGGCTCATCAGTGTTGGATCCTCCTAGCGGTTTCTCCCATTTAATCTACCAGACCGGTTTCTTAGAGCTCTTATACACATTGGACGATTCTGCTTATATATGCTACATTGAAGGATGAAATATTAGAAATGGTATTCAAGAAACTATAGACATAAGCTTTTAGGAACAGTAGATTTACACATATTTTCGCAGCATAAGGACAGTAAAAGTTTAT